GGGGGGGCCGGGGGGGGGATTTATAACTTCTCCCATCTCCCATCTCTCTCTCTCTCTCTCTCTCTCTCTCTCTCTCTCTCTCTGGTTTTTAGTTAACCAGCTCAAACTGGTCGAGTCAGATTCTCCGCGAGAAGACTAAAACGAAGAAGATGAAGATGAATGAAGAAGAGGAGAAGAAGAGACGAAGAGGGAAGAGGAAGAAGAAGAAGAGGAAGGAAGAGGAAGGTACAGGAAGGAACAGGAGGAAGATGAAAGGGAAGAAGAGTGGAGGGAAGGAGGAGGAGCAACAGCAGAAGAAGCCAGACGAGGAGACAAAGAAGACGAGAAGGAGAAAGAAGAAGGGAAGAAGAACTAGCAGGAGGAAGAGGAGGAAGAGGAGGAAGAGGAGGAAGAGGAGGAAGAGGAGGGAGAGGAGGGAGAGGAGGAAGAGAAGGAAGAGAAGGAGAGGAAGAGGCAGGGGAGGAAGAGGAGGAAGAGGAGGAAGGGGAGGACGAGTAGCAGGACAAAAACTTACCATCTGCTAAGGGTGCATCGGGATCCAGGGCTTGTCGCAAAGCAGGCGACAAGTCGGGGCGGACGTCCTCCTCGTCATCTTCCTGAATTTTGCGTGCTGCAGCCCTGCACCAAGAGGGACAAAATAGAAAATAAGGAGAGAAAAGAGGTATAAGTGAGAGTGACGATTAGGGGGACGAGAGGGATGAAAGAGAAAAGAAACCTTGTTTTTTAAAAAACTTCAAAAAAGCAAAAAAAAAGATCCAGAAAAAACAAAAACGGGAAAAGGAAGGAGAACCTCTTTTTTTTTTTTTTTTTTTGGGTTACGAACCTTCCCTGACAGTGCGCAGGAAATCATTAATCAGTGGCAAATTGTTAATCACCGGATTATACCAATCATTGGTAATCACCGGATTATACCAATCATTGTCTGTGTAAGTTTTTTTTTCCCCTTTTCTTTTCCTTTTTTACCTTTTCCCCGTTTTTTCCTTTCTTTTTCTTTTTTCTTTTTTCTTTTTTCTTTTTACGTTTTTTCGTTTTTTTTTTGCTTTTTTTTTTTTCGCTTTTTTTGCTTCTTTTTCTTTTCCCCCTCCTCCTCCCCCCCCCTCCTCCTCCTTAGCCATCAACTAAGTAGCTCATCATAGTGAGAGCATTCTGAACATCAATTTTTTTGAACATCAATTTTTTTGAACATCAATTTTTTTTTCTCATACGGTGAGGTAATTTCGGAAACAACCCCCCCACACACACACACAAAAAAAAAAAAAAAAAAAAAAAAAAATTCAGAGTGAGACTCAGAGGATGGAGATAATTGTCTGACCTCACCACAGACTGCTCGG